ATATCTTGATGGTTTAATAGGTCCTAACTGATTTTATTTTAAAATACCCAGTCGATCTACCTGTAGTTCTTACATATTCATTTCTTGTTTATGTTCAACAGTGTCACATGGATCTATTTTTTTTTTTTATCGTATCACAGAAAATATAGAATTGGTAGAACATTTACCAGATGAAAGTCTCATCCATTTTAAAAGAAACTATCAGAATATTTTATATCAGTGGTGAATTTGGATTTTTTCAGGTTTCTGGTCAATTAGTACATAAGATCTTTTTTTTTTTCTGTTTGATTATAATTTTGTATTCAATATATGCTTGATCTTTATAATAACTAATATTATATTTGTAAATCACACCTAAATTCAATATTTCCAGCAAATAAAAGTAAAAAATACACATTGAATGTTTTTGGCCACTAAATTTATCGGCGTTCTTCAGGAAATATAAACTGGATAAACTGTTCTATAAATAGAACTTAGCTGCCTTTTAAACTTTTAAAAGAACGAAAACGGCTGTGATGTATTGCGTATGACATATATTATGAGTCTAGATAGCGTTTTCACGCTGATGATACAGAAATGACATCCGTGTTGATGCAGTTTCCACTCATGCTTGCCTTATAGATCTCTACTGCTTCTAAGATTTTTATATTTTGCCTGTCGAAAACCTTGTGTATTAGCTTGGCCTGGTCCCAACAGGGGGAAATTTTTGGATCGCTGGCATACCGTGCTAAAGCCATAGTGATGTTACCTTTTAGCACGTCATATTTGGGATCTTTTAGTCTGGCTTGTAGCGATCTGTATGTGGATCCTATGTAAGCTAGTAATCTGTCAAACCTCTCGTCATATAGGGAAATGTGGTAAATCCCAGGAGCCAGAGCGTCTTCAGTGTCGTCCTTCACGTTTAAGAGAAGGCGGAAAACAGTGGGTTTCCTTCTATAGGCAAGGAGTACGTTTAAATTATTTGCGATCCTTCTATATATGCGATGTAGTGTCGGTTCGTAGTCTAAGATCACCCGATTTGCTTCTGCTTTGTTAACCCTGTTAGATGACTGAGATAGATATTTGGATGCCAGATTGTCGATAAATGTGCGGCCATATCCGTGGTTATATGCTACCTGTTTGAGATGTTCCAGTTCTTTGTTGGTATCGGACAACCGTGTAGAATGGGAGTAAGCTCTGGCCACAAGTGTGTGGAATGCGGATGTCTTATATGACCATGGGTCTGCTGAATTGGAAGGTATGAATAGAGGGATGGAAGTAGCCTTGTTGTAAATTGCTGTGACGAATTTGCTATCAGCTACTTGAAACTAAATATATAAAATTACTTGTCCTGACTGACTGACTGAGTGATTGATTCATCATCACCCACAGCAAACCTCTGTACCTAAAGAGGTGAAATTTTTGGTACATAGTAAGGGTATGTCATGAAAACGCACACTAGGAAGGGATTGTTCGAAATCCCCACGGGAGGAGAGGATTAAGGCTTAACCTGAAGAACAGCTCTACTGTACTATTTTAGATGTGATTTTTTGTTTTCAACTATGTTTAGTCTTCATTGAGTACTTAAGTATATTAAATTGATAACATTTCGGACATTGTTATAAATATTTTTATATATTTTGATTTTTTAACCAAATGTTCGAACAGTTTTAAATTCAAATTTGTTATTACATATTGGTTTGATTATAGAACAATTGTAAACGTTCCAGAAAATTGATCAAATTGAAAACAGTTTGTTCGATTCTCAGAAATTCTCATCATTCTCAGCGGTAGGTGTTATATAACAATTACTATGGTTGTTGAAATACTGAATATAAATGGTGTTTTCTTGAAAAATCTGTGTGGTTGAACTAGCTGTCACAAGTAACAGATATATTTTATTATAAATTTTTTATTTTTCATATATTTATGCATTAACATGTACCATGTTATTACATAAATTGTCTGCTATAAGTAATAGATATGTATATATCCACAGTGTGGTTTTCTTTATATTACTTTTAAAAAATCAATTTTTCAAAAATATTTTCTCAAAATTGATGAAAACTTTATGGGTTAATTGTACATAAATAACATTAAGGGTGTAAATACAGGGTGTAAGTACATAAATAACATTAAAATTGTACATAAATAACATTAAGGGTGTAAATACAGGGTGTAAGTACATAAATAACATTGGTTATTGTAACAATTGTATTAACAATTAAATAACAATTAACAATTATGTTATTTATGTACAATTCTAACAATTGTACATAAATAACATAATTAACATTAAGGGAACATTTGAAAAATACAAAAAAGTTTTCAGTAAGCATGGTGTTACACTAGCAGCCAAATTAAAAAATAAAATTAAAAACATCATCAACACCAATAAGTTTAAAAATAACAAAATACTAAACCAAACAGGTATAATATATTAAATAAAATGTACATGTAAGAACCCAGCAATATACATTGGCGAAACAGGAAGACAACTCGGTACCAGATTAAAAGAACATAAAGCAGCAATTAGACTTAATTATAACCAATTACCGTGGACAAATCACTGTAAGGAATTTGGATGCACAATAAACAAAAAAAGTATAAAAATTATCCATAAAGAAAAAGATAGTTATCTACGAAAATTCAAAGAGCACTTCGAAATCATTAATAAAAGCAAAACCATAAACCTAAATAATGGAATGGAGGTTGACGACATGTGGGAGGAAATGGGAGGAGCTAAAGGGAAAGAAAACAAAAGGAGGGGGAAATGGTCTAAAATGCCTTAGAGGACATAACATCAACACTGGACAGATGTCAATCTAAAACTTAAAACAGGTTAGTTAACCATGATTCATGTAGAGCAGTGGTTTCCAATTGGGGGTAAACGAAATTGCATGAAGGGGTACGCACAAAAATCTAAAATTGGTTGATTTAAAATTTAAATGCACGAGAAGAAGCAATCAAAAAAATAACACAGGTCTACAAAAAAAAAATATTTTTTCCAGCTGCATGGAATATTTTTGCTAAATTATATGTTTTAAAGATCGCAGATACTAAAAATAACTTCAGTTATATCCCATCACATAAAGGTTTTTGCAAAATAAAAACAAATTTTTGATAAAATCTCTTATAATATATTTAGTTCATTGTAATAAATATTTTCTTACAAATAATCAACAAATTGTTTCTTATATTTATACACAATTTTAGGTCTACTCTTTTTTCTTATGAAACTTTTTTTTTGATTCTTCTCCAAACTTATTTCCGATTTTCTTCTCTGGTTTCTTGATTGAGCATCCAACTGTAGTCAGATAACATATTGACATCCCATTTTCATTGGTAACGTCTCTCGATATCACAGACATCCCGGTGAAATCTTTCGCCCTGCTCCCAAGTTTTCGGGAAAATAGTCAATATGGGAGTGTAAGAAATGAACTTTAAAGCTCATCTCGCATCCTCGAGCTTCATACGCTGCTGCCAGCATGCTTTGTACAATAGTTTTATAGTCAGGGTCCTTAGTATTCCCCAAAAATTTACGCACTACATTTTTGAAAGAGTCCCATGCTTCTTTTTCCTTTTCTCCTATTGTTTCCAAAAATCTGCTTTGTCTCAATCCCCAAGTTTCAATTTGAAATATGCAAAGTAAACCTTCTTCATAAACTCACTTGTTTCTTTGTTGACTTTTCACTGTGTATTCACCACAAACATAACAGATGCTGTCGGGAAAAATTACACAACCTCTGTGAGCCATATTCCAGAAATAAAAATACAAGCACAGTAGCGTTCGAATGCTGGATATAAACTGTGTGTGGCATTAGATGGCCAGCGAGATACTGAACTTATTTAGCTTGTTGAAACATGATCTAATCCAACAGCAGGTTGTTTATATTCATTCCTAGTATCCCATGTAACATGTCGAAACATGCTCAATATTACTCACTATCAACTTTTAACCCGTTTCTATACGATCATGCGACCTTCCTCCTAACGCTAAAACTACTTAACCCACCTCCCTCCACCACTACTCTCTTCAACCATTAACATTTTTATTTATTTATTACAAAGTCCAGATATCGTTGATAGAATTAATGTCAGAAGTCTTCGTTTTAAGGCTATTTTTTAAATAAAAGAAAAAACATAGTAAATTTTAAGTTAACTAGGAATTTTACACTAAATACAAACAAAAACTTGAGTGTAACAAAAAATTGACGAGATGGAATTTTTTTGGTATCTTTTTCATTTTTACCAAGTTGAAATCTGTAAGAAAATGTATAAAAATCCTATGCAGTTTTTTACTTGCAGACCTGTGTATTTGCTCAGATTTGCAAAACTTTTCAAATGTAAAATTATGGAAAAAATATTTGTTTTTCTAATTTGGATTTGAAAATGTTTTGCTATTTTAATGTAACATTAATGATTGTTTGATAGATTAATGGAAAAATCTTGGTTTACATTAAATTTTCTATTATCTCTATGTGCAATACTGAAAGATGTTGAAGTTAATGTAAAAATTAACTCAAATTTTGTCTTAATATATAATTAATAAACTTGACAACTTTAATTTCTGAGTCGACTGCTGTCTAATTTCAAAATTTCTGTTGTTTATAACATGATGAAAGTAAAGAAGGCATAATATAAAATAAACTTTAAAAAAACACAGAATAGTTGTCAATTACTGCATTTTCTTATTGTTAACATAAAAAAATGATAAAATTTTTGAAATTGACAACAGAAAAAACACAAAAAGGAAAAAATGAAATTAACACGATTAAAATAAAATAGAAAAAAATGTAGATTTCAACATTAAATTTATAATAATTTGGATATATTGTTTTCAGGCAGGACATTTATATGTTACATTAGTATCATGTTTGTTCACAATATATGTATGCAAACTCACATAGCAGGAACAACAGTTAACAATACAGAGAAATTTTAGTACCTAACCTAATCAAATATATATTATTATTATTCTTAATAATAGATTATCAATTTAATTTCTTTATATTCTGCAGATGAGCAGTTCGGACAGAGCTCTTATTAATGCATTTAGAGAAATAAATAATATGGCTGACAGAATAAATTTGCCAAAAACTATAGTGGTGAGTATTTGAATAATTCTTTGATTGTTTTTGTAGATTTTTTTAAACCTAAAATTTTTGTTTTTTATTTTATTAACTTGCATTGCACAAGGAACTCTTATTGATATCAGGGCTTTGGGGTTGATGTTGGGAGGAATTTCTGGCCGGAGGAGTCAGTCAGGAAAAATGTGTCGACCGACTTAATCATTTTAAAATTTAATTTAGATTTTTTTATTTTAATGAAAGAAAATTTATATTCATTAATTTTTTAAAATGCTTTTGTATTTTGTTATAATTTATTTATTTTAAATACAAAATACAACAATTTAATTTATTAAATATGTATCAATAGTTTTCTTTGTAGTATTTGTGTTTAGTAGTTAANGAAACTACACAATTTATTTATTTTTAGCATTTGTTACTGAGTTACAATAATTACATGTAACAGGAAATAGCTAGTTCCAAAAATTCAACAATATTATTATTTCAAAACGCTCTCACTCCAAATGTAAATCAGGCTCTACAGAATCCTGATTTACATTTGGAGTGAGATTTCTGGAAAGGTGAAATTGAAGTGCAAAATCTGTAGAATTTATCACTCCCCTTTTTCCTCTTTAAATATTTGTTAAAATTAATTTTTTTATACAAATAAATATTAATGTAAGTTAAATATTAAAAATACTAACTATAAAAGTATTTGGATAAATACCCAGGGCTCCTATCAGAGTTCAGAGTAGTTTACCTTCTAGGAGTGCCTCTGCCCCCAAAAATGACTTGGTATTTAATTTTACTGGAGTTGGAGTCGAGTGTTGTTTTACCAACTCTGCAGCCCCGATTGATATAGGCTTTATTATTGGATGTGGATATGCATTTTGGATGCTAATGATCTCTCCTCAGTCCTTACTTTATATACAGATTTTATTAAAACAAATAATAGTTATAAATTATATCACACACGTGTTTACAGAAAATATTTACTAAAAGTTTTTCCACTCACATTAGCTGAATATTGAATACAAATTGAAATTAAAAATTGGACAATTAATTGGATGCTTTAAAAAATTTTTTAAAAAGATGCTGTATAAAATAAAATTGAAGTAAATAAATAAAATTTATATTAAGAAAAATGTAGTCTTTCAAAAAATAATTTAAGTTGCTACTACCTGTAGATGGGTAAAATTATGAGTTGGTAAGATTTAAAACGATTATTAAGAAATGTGGGTTTAAAAACTTTTCTTTAAAAAACAGCTGGAATGAGAAACTTTCAAAACCATTATAAAATGTACAAATTACACTGTGTGAGAATCAACATAAATTGACTGTGTATTGTAATTGGATGGGGAAGGGGGTTTGAAAGGGATCTCTAGTGGACGCTACCTGTTATGAAGAAATGGTTGCCAGATCTCACTAATAGTTAGATTATTTGTAAAAAGAGTAAATTTACTTGTTTTGGTCTGGAAAATAATCTTATTTATTTTTAGAATTTACAAATTTTTTTAGTTAGATTATTGTTTAAGTTCATTTTACTGTATTAATTTTGTTTATTAGTCTATCCCAGCAAGTAACAGTATGCCCCTGAGAACATACTTGAAATAGTAATAGTTTTGTTACCATGCCACTTCACTTCATACAAATTTTGATTATCCACGTCATCTACTTTTTTCCTGAAATGCTCTCCTTTCCTTCCATTTTATTTCTTTCTCAGAGAGAATTTTACAGCCTGCAAGCTTGTTCTGTCTTACGGTACACAAATAGTAAATACCAATATCTATCTGCCATCTGTGACTTGCAGGCACAGCTGGCAGATGTGAGAAATCAGGGGCATAAAATTGTTCTATGTCACTTACTGACACACAATCGTTAGATTGGCTCACTTGTTTTCCGGAGGGCTTTAAAGTATGTAAGGATATAGACCGTAAAGTCCAGATCCACGTCAGGATGTTGACACCAGATAGTCAATTTCGCGGACTATCACATGATTACTTTTAATTAATTTCACGGAGAGGTTGCATTATAATTGTGAAAAGGAATCTTTTGATTCAGTCAAGAATGAAGTCATATTTATAAATAAAATAATAAAAAAGATTTAATAAACAAAATAAAAACAAAATAGATTTCATAATTGTAATCTCCATCTATTTCACGGAGAGAGATGTTGCACTTCATTTAGAATCGTACTATCTCAACGTCTTTATATTTTGGTGTCTTCTCTTTATATTCATTCAATGATAAAGTTCTTTACTTAATCTTGGTTCTTGTTCAGTTTTCTTTATCTTTTCTTGGTACTTCGAAGGAGGTACTTTGTCAAAAAGTTCAATTTACAAGTTTGGCGTTGTTTATAGGGAGATACTCTGGAATATGTTTTCTCTTCTATGGAGATTAGGCGCACTCGTGGTTAAGGGTGTTGGCCATAGGGAGACAGTATGGAATACCTTTTTCTATATCGAGAAATTCGGGTGTACTCTGAACAATACCAAAGAATCCCCGTTTTTGAGGTTTTCCTCCAATGGTAACATCATATTTTTCCCACATGAACAGGATGAGTGGGGATTTACAGAGGGGTGACTGTTTGTTAGGTGACTCAGATCTTGGAAGATAAGGGAAAAACGAAAGGATGTGGAACTTCCGTTGAAAAGGAAGTGAGTTTTACCAGTTTACTTCATTGTTGAAATTAAACTTTTTCCATCAAATTAGAAATATTATTTCTAAAAATTATTGATTTCGATTTAAACATTTAACTAATTAAAGGGGGTATTCAAAATCTCACACAGATATTAATTCAGCTTTTGACTTAGATTTTTTGGAATTACTTGGGTTAATCTGATTATGATATTCCTGCTGACCTCTACATCTGGCAATGATGCATTATGTTTCAGGGCTAGTGTACACTTCAGAATTGTAAACTAGACTACACAGTCTTCCATATCACTCTGAAACTACACAATTTATTTATTTTTAGCATTTGTTACTGAGTTACAATAATTACATGTAACAGGAAATAGCTAGTTCCAAAAATTCAACAATATTATTATTTCAAAACGCTCTCACTCCAAATGTAAATCAGGATTCTGTAGAGCCTGATTTACATTTGGAGTGAGAGCGTTTTGAAATAATAATATTGTTGAATTTTTGGAACTAGCTATTTCCTGTTACATGTAATTATTGTAACTCAGTAACAAATGCTAAAAATAAATAAATTGTGTAGTTTCAGAGTGATATGGAAGACTGTGTAGTCTAGTTTACAATTCTGAAGTGTACACTAGCCCTGAAACATAATGCATCATTGCCAGATGTAGAGGTCAGCAGGAATATCATAATCAGATTAACCCAAGTAATTCCAAAAAATCTAAGTCAAAAGCTGAATTAATATCTGTGTGAGATTTTGAATACCCCCTTTAATTAGTTAAATGTTTAAATCGAAATCAATAATTTTTAGAAATAATATTTCTAATTTGATGGAAAAAGTTTAATTTCAACAATGAAGTAAACTGGTAAAACTCACTTCCTTTTCAACGGAAGTTCCACATCCTTTCGTTTTTCCCTTATCTTCCAAGATCTGAGTCACCTAACAAACAGTCACCCCTCTGTAAATCCCCACTCATCCTGTTCATGTGGGAAAAATATGATGTTACCATTGGAGGAAAACCTCAAAAACGGGGATTCTTTGGTATTGTTCAGAGTACACCCGAATTTCTCGATATAGAAAAAGGTATTCCATACTGTCTCCCTATAAAGGTATTCCATCCTGTCTCCTCTGTAGAGCCTGACTAAAAGCATACCAACTAATTTTTGCAGAGAAAAAGGTCTCAACTTCAAATTCACTGTCTTCCAAAATATCACCAGCAGATATTCTAAAAGTAACCTGCGAAGCTCTATTTTATTTTCTGCATTGAAACATATACACATTCATTTCATTGTTGCACGATGTTGCTCTGAGAAACGTTTACTAATATTACAAATATTTTTCATATATCTTTATTTACATACTAAGAAGTATATATTCTTTTAAATTATGCTATATAGTTTTAAATTAAAAGAAAGATTTGATCCAGATAACTTGAAAATTTTTTATAAAATGAAAATTTTCTGCATATCTTTACATTAATAATGGAAAATAAAAGTATTTTTTCTTTACACCCTGCTACCAAGTAATGAATTTTATTGGTAAACCGAAACAAAGCGTTGAAACCACATTGTGCAGGTATAAAAAAATTAGTTGTACTGCCTATTAATGGGAACTACTTTTTAAGAGTACCCTGAAGCAATGCCAGGAAATAAAGGGTTAAATAATAATTTACTTGTTTATTTTATTGTATATTTTAGGATCGAGCAAACAATTTATTTAAGCAAGTACATGACGGCAAGACATTGAAAGGTCGAAGTAACGATGCAATTGCCTCTGCGTGTTTGTATATAGCTTGCAGACAAGAAGGAGTTCCCAGAACCTTTAAAGGTACGTAAAATTATTGTTATTACTGCCAAGACATTATCATAATTTTTCATGCCTCCACAAAAATAGTAGTCAAAAAGATATTCACATTCTCAGACATATTATTTGGATTGACAAATGCACCTATACTTGAGAATTAAAATATAAATCTAGAATTTATTAGAATATGAAACTATCGTAGTATATAAGATAGATTTGATGCCAGGAAATAGAAGGGAATTTGCTGATAAAAATGACTTACTTCATTTCTTCAAAATGCTGTTAGGTTTGCATTCTGAGTCCCTATTTCACAAAGTAGACAAACACCAATCTGTTAAAAAGAAATTTGTGTACTTAAAATTGATAGGAGTGATATATTGCATCATACCTTAAAGTAAATTTATACAGACAAAAGTTAATGGTGTCTCATTTTGTAAGTTTTCAGTATGTATTGTACCAAGCCTAATAAATAGATTGTAACAATTTTTGAATAAAGCACAAGAAGGTAGGATCTTATCAGACTTAGAAAGATTATAACAAGCATTTAAAAAAAAATTCTATTACAAAAGAGTTACAAAATTAAATAAAGTTAACAACAAAAAATATTAATAATTGACTAAGGTGCATTTCAAATTTATACAGACACGAGAAAATTAAAGTGAAACCCAAACTTGCTGCATTAAGTGACAAATATTTTATTAAAAATAACATGGATTTACATGTTTCCACACTGCAAAATAAGAATTTTAATCAAACATTAACATTTTGTCACTGAAAATAATATTTTTGAAAATTTTGTATAAAAAACTATTACATATTTATCTGGACAGGCACTCATTTCATGACTTAAATAGAATATTGTTTAGTTTCAAGCATTGAAATATGCAAATTAGCTTAAATATCTAATTGTTCAAAGTTCTAAAATGGGTAGCACAAAGAATTTATCTGATTATGAAAAAGGGCAAATTGATGCCTATAAATTACAAGGCAAGTCAATAAGAGAAATTGCAGCATATATAAATCGTCCAAAATCAACTGTTGGTGATTATTTATCAAAAAGACGTGGCAAGGATGTACCAAAATTCAAGACGGTCCAAAACTGAAGCTTACACTTTGAGATTGTAGACAAATCATCAAGGTCTGCTCCACAAAACAAACATCAGTAAGAAAAATAAAACAAGAATTAGACTTGCCATAAGCAGCACAACAGTGTGGAGAGTTTTAAATAAATCTCCAATGTTAAAATTCAGAAAAAAAAAACTGTGATGTCACCACTTTCATTAAAGCACAAAAGTGGCAGACTTGATTGGGCACAAAAACACATGACATGGTCCAAAGAATATATTAAAGTTTTGTTCAGTGATGAAAAAAATTAAACTTAGATGGTCCAGATGGTTGGAAGTATTATTGGCATGATTTAAGAATTGAAAAACAAATATTTTCTAAATGCCAAATGGGTGGGGGATCAATAATGGTGTGGGGTGCGTTTGGATTCAATGGAACCACAGATTTAGTAATTGTATCTCAAAGAATGAATTCAGAGAAGTATCAAGGCATGCTTGAAGATCATTTATTGGAAGCTGGACCAAATTGGATCTTTCAACAAGACAATGCCCCTGTGCATGCCTCTAAATCAACAAAAATGTGGTTTAAACGTAAAAATATTAATCTGATGACATGGCCTGCTAGAAGCCCTGACCTGAATCCGATGGAAAATCTTTGGGGGATGATGGTTCGTACAGTTTATGCCAATGGAAAGCAGTTTTCCACAATTCATGATTTGAAGGCAGCAATTTCAGATGCTTGGGATAAACTTAAGATTGAATTCCTTCAGAATCTAATTGAAACAATGCCTAATCGAGTATTTAATGTAATTAAGTTAAATGGTGGTTACATTGGCCATTAAATTGTAAGAAAACTTTGCAATTTGAAACCTGTCCGGATAAATATGTAACAGTTTTTTTGTATAAGAGTTTCATAAACATTATTTTCAGTGACAAAATGTTAATGTTTGATTAAAATTCTTATTTTGCAATGTGGAAACATGTAAATCCATGTTATTTTTAATAAAACATTTGTCACTTAATGCAGCAAATTTGGGTTTCACTTTAATTTTTTTGTGTCTGTATAAATTTGAAATGCATCTTATAGTAAAATTAATGAGAGAGAGAGAACTTCTCTAAAATGGGAACTTATCAAATTCTGTAATTGCATTTATTTGGACATTATTAGATCTTATCCATAGGACAACTTTTTGACAAGACTGTGTCTTGTTTATAAAATTGTACTGCCTGCTGTGTTACCAGCTTAGAGGTATTAAGGAGTACATGTCAGGAGTTGGGATTTGGCACAGAGTATTAGGTGCCCAAATTATGCGCGCATAAAAAAACCCACTTGTAGGTACTCGGGGACCGAGAACCGAGTCAAAATAAAATACAAAATGGGAACTCTCTCTACAAACAGGCAAATTGAAGTCAGGTGGTGAGAGTACCATCCACAGTCGTTCTAGGAAGTGGACTCTGACCCTAGGACTGAACACGTAGTATTTTCTTTGTTAAATAAAATATGTAATCTAATTTTGTAAATTTGGGAGTGCTTTAAATATGACATTAAAACAGGGTTTTATGTCATTACAAGTAGTTTTTTAACATTATCTAGTATAGTAAAATTGTGGGACCGATAAAAATTTGATTTTATAATAGGGTTGTCATTACATCCGATGATGTTTAATCGGGTTAAACTGTTTATTGTGTTAATTGTTTGTGCAAAATAAAAAAAATAATTTCGAATGATACAATAGCCACGATTATTTTTTCAAAAGCAGGAAATTTTCATTACGCATCTACAAAAATTCAACCCGGGGGGACATGCAAAGGAGAGAAATTTCGAAATTGGATAGGTTAATTTTATAAAAAATGCATCATGGGTGATCTCATGGCCGTGACCAGCAAAGTTTGAACAAACAATTGCACCCAAAAGCAGTGATACCAAAGAAGATTGAAGAATGAGACCCACTTTGAATGTCAAAGTGGTTCCGCTTAGTAATGAATCTCCGAGACATAGTCTTGTTCCAAATACGATTTTGCCATTTTACTTGTTTTAAGGCAGAATCTGTTTGATGCAAACAGAAACGTAAATGTGTTGCATCATTAGACTGAAACTGCAGTCAGTGTTGAATGGAAAAGCCTGACAGAAAAAAGAAGTAGAAATGAAATTGGATCTGTCCACATTTATTGTATTCATATTGTGATGGAGGAAATAGTTCAGTTGCATATTATAAATGACGGTAACGATTTTTTAAGTTGTTTGAAAACATAATGTAAATGATTAAGGTCTAATGACACACTGACTTGTAAACAATAGCTGATACTGATGATAGCCTAATATCAAATGATGAGGGGAAATATGTTAAAACTAGTAAACTTTAATAAGTAATCTTGAATATATACACTGTTTGTTTTTTAAAACAAACAGTGTATATATTCAAGATTTCAGTTTATATATTTAAAATATTGAATATATATATTCAAAATATTGAATATATACACTATTTGTTTTTAAAACAAACAGTTTATATATTCAATATTTCAGCTTGTAATCTTGCTTTGTATATATTGTATATATTCAATATTTCAGCTTGTAATCATTCAGCTTGTAAACTTGCTGTTTATTGTAACCTTAGGGTGATTATTGTTTCTATATTAGAGAATTGGGTGTGACTTGATAATGCAACACCTGTCACATTTGCACTTTATTTCAATGTACAGTGAGAGTCACAATGCTGAATGAAATGTGGAATTTATCAGTTTATGNGATGAGGGGAAATATGTTAAAACTAGTAAACTTTAATAAGTAATCTTGAATATATACACTGTTTGTTTTTTAAAACAAACAGTGTATATATTCAAGATTTCAGTTTATATATTTAAAATATTGAATATATATATTCAAAATATTGAATATATACACTGTTTGTTTTTAAAACAAACAGTTTATATATTTAAAATATTGAATATATATATTCAAAATATTGAATATATACACTGTTTGTTTTTAAAACAAACAGTTTATATATTCAATATTTCAGCTTGTAATCTTGCTTTGTATATATTGTATATATTCAATATTTCAGCTTGTAATCATTCAGCTTGTAAACTTGCTGTTTATTGTAACCTTAGGGTGATTATTGTTTCTATATTAGAGAATTGGGTGTGACTTGATAATGCAACACCTGTCACATTTGCACTTTATTTCAATGTACAGTGAGAGTCACAATGCTGAATGAAATGTGGAATTTATCAGTTTATGTTAAGCCTCATTTTCCTCCAATTGATGGCATACTTACTATTGGTGAGTGCTGTTTATCTGTATAAATGTGAATAGGTGTGTAATATTTAATACGAAATAAGAATTGAAAAACAAATATTTTCAAAATGCCAAATGGGTGGGGGATCAATAATGGTGTGGGGTGCGTTTGGATTCAACGGAACCACAGATTTAGCATTTATAATTCAAAGAATGAATTCAAAGAAGTATCAAGGCATGCTTGAAGATCATTTATTGGAAGCTGGACCAAATTGGATCTTTCAACAAGACAATGCCCCTGTGCATGCCTCTAAATCAACAAAAATGTGGTTTAAACGTAAAAATATTAATCTGATGACATGGCCNGCATTCCATTCTGGTAAGCTTTCCTTCTAGTCTATCAAGTGCACATGCTAATGAACTATACCATGCATTCATTTCTATCCTTGCATCCCTTTTCTGTTTTTCCAGTAATCTTTTAGCATTTCTTCCTTCACATTTGCATCTGTTCCCATGAGTAGGATCCTAGAACAAAGGTAACTAATTCTAGAAATCTGCTTGGATGTATTGTCTTCAGAAAAATGGAATTAATAGAATGTAAGACAAAATTTCTTTGTTTGATGTGTTTGGGTCAATGTTATACTTTATACAGCTTAAATTTATTCCAGATATGGAAGTTTTGATTTACAATAATTAGAGATAAAGAAGTTGTAAGTGCA